AAAAAAAAAGAACTGGGATTATTATCAGTACTTAAATATAGTGTTACATATTTACAGGTGTTTGGAGTTTGGTACCAGGGGTTTGTCGTCTACCTATATATAGCATTTAAAATGTCCCGTCTAGTCACTGACTCAGTCCGCCAAGAGGTCAATGCGTTTCCCCACATTCGAAGGTTTGCATAGAAAGTAAAGGGAGCATTGGTTAGGGAGGAATCTGGAAGATAAATTGTTCTCTTGTACTACTAAGTGAGGTGTGGTTTCTCTCTTCTTCTTTTTTTTTTTTCCTTTTTTGAGTGACAGGAGGTGGGAAAACATGCATATCTGATAATAACAGCATTTGGATGTTGTACCAAATTTGCTATTTAAAAAAAAAAACTAAAAAACAAAAAACAAAACTGTGAGGTGGATTACACTTTGCAGTTAGGGAGCATTTGGGTTATTGCAGCCAGATGTCCAAACTAAGCTGTTCTTGTAGTGACTTTTATTCAAAGTTCAATTTTGAATATTCTGTTGGGTCAGACTGCCAAACAGTCCATGTAGATACTGTTTCCCAAGGGGTTTTAAATTTGGACATTTGGGTGAGGAGTGCAGGATAGTGTCTTTCTTGCCAAGAGTTAGACCAGAAGATTATCATCATTCACATCTGTTTACAAAATATGAAGTGTAGTTAAGACTGAAACGGAGGCAAACATAATCCATCTCCTGAGGTTACCAATTTACAGGTCATACCATGTTTGTGCAGTGGACTACAGATGTCGACATGCTGCCCTCGTCAACCGATATTGGCCTACCAGGAAATCCAATTGGTCAATATTTCTGGTCATTAATTTTGGCTATAGCCCTGTCCATATATAAAGTGATTTTCGCTTGCCACCTCTCGCTTTGCAGCGGACAGCTGCTAGCAGACTTTTCAGACACTGGTTGCATAGGAAACCTTATTTCCTGCCCCATCTTTTGTCAGTCAGCAGTATCCCTTGCCATCCCATTGGTAGTTGTTTCAAATTGTTGCTTCTAGCCATTTCGCACCGCTAACTGTTATTCCATCTGTCATCACTACAAGACTCCGAATTTCACTGACATTCCATAATCTCTGATCTCCACGCCGCCTTTTTTTCCTTCTTCTTGTGAGTATTAAAAACAAAACAAAACAAAAAAAACCCCCAATGTGATGAAGAAGATTTTTAACAGTCTTATTTAGGGTGAAGATTTCTTTGTTTCCCTGGACAAAGACGGGAATAAATAACAACAAAAAACACATTAAAATGTGGAAAAATATCATGCTGGCGTTGGCCAATTTATTTTTAAACATCCGTGCATCCATATGTAATTCATTTTTTTTTTAATGCGCTTTTTGATTACTTTTTTTTTTTTTAATTTAAAGGGAAAAGGGATTCATGCAATTTAGAGATATCGGTTAGCTGCTTCCACCTGCTTTCGGTCTTCATATTAACAGAACGAGCGTCACTCTTCTCAATCTAACTTGGCAAGAAAGCCGATG